TTTTCTTTTCTTTTTAATTGGAGATACTGGAGATTGAACCCAGGACCTCATGTATGCTAAGCATGCGCTGTACCACTGAGCTTCACCCACCACCTTTTTAATATTCTTTTTTAAACATAATGAAGGTGAAGTGCTTTGAAAGTTCTATGTTCTCCCAGCCACTCTAGACAGATAGACTGTATCTGCATAGTCTTCCCCTGGCCAAAAATCAAGTCCAAATCCTTTCCCAGAGTTCAAGGCCCTCATTTCCAGCTTTATGCTATAACACATGGATCTTCCATCCCAGCTGGGTTGGTTTGCCCCCTAGCCCATAAATGACGTTTTCTGCACTTTCTTGCCCCTGCCTATCAGCATCGCCCCTTAGAGCCTGGAACTGTGCTGTCCAACAAAGTAGCCATTAGGCATATGGGGAAACTGAAATTTAATTTAAATAAATTAAAATTACATAAAATTTAAACTTCCATTCCTTAATCATACTGGCCATATTTCAAATATTTCATAGCCATGTTTGGCTATTGGCTAGTGTACTAGACAGCACATATACAAAACATTTTAATCATCACAAAAAGTTCTATTGGACAGTTGACAAAGATATTCTATGAAGAACCAGAGAGAAAATATTTCAGGTTTTGTGAGTTATGAGCAAAACTGAGGACAGTATATAGATATTTATGTAACAATGCAAATTTTTACTGATAAAATTCAAATTGTAATAATAATAACAGAGTACAATTTTTCACAATACAGATCTACTGAGAAGAACAGAATTCTTTTTTAAGGGCTAACATTTTGCTTACATGAGATTCAAAATCAGAGTTCCCTAGTATCAAATCAATTGCCAGTGTTCATCTACCAAAAACCATCCTTAGCTTGCGTACTGTCCAAATAAACTGGCAGTTGGCCCAATTAGGCTCATGAACAGCAATTTGCAAATTCGTGGTCAAGGGTGTTTCTCAACAGGGTACTACTGACACTTTGGGTGGAACATTTCTTCATTTTGTAAGACTGTCCCATACATTGCCAGATATTAAGCATCCCTGGCCCTCAGGCATTAAATACAGTAGCATCTTCCAGTAGGTGTAGCAACAAAAACTGCCCCACCACATCTCCAAGCGCTCCCCAACACAAGGGAGGTACCCACCTCTTCTGTATCTCCTCTGACCACCCAACTTCCTCTAAACTTCTGAAGAATTTACTGTCAACTGCTTACTCTCATGAGTAGTATAAACAAGGTTGAAGTTGCCAAATACATATGTAGGAAGACTTGTTGCAGTCAGATTTCAAGGTGAACACACTCAGATTCCCATGTCTGGACATATCTGACGAATGATCTACTAGGGGCTTATTTGTGTTGAGGGGCCAAGGATTCTTCCAGAACTGCAGCCATTCTAAAGGAAGACAGAGCCAAGGCAAAGCCTGGTCTCTGAGACGTGGGCCAGTGTTGGGGGAACTGACAGTCTGTATTTAAATTTATTCATTCCTTCAGTAAATATTCTTGTTGACTACGCAGCAGACATCACTGGATACCACCAGACTCCTAGGTTGTCACTCGATCCTGAGCCTGTAATTGAGCCACCTTGTAGTTCTCTCCCGTTTCCATATCTGTTCAATGAGGGCACCGGGAGTGCCTGTCTCCGTGAGCTGTCAGCCCTTAGAGCAATACTTGCACATAATGGGAGCTAATATTTTTGGAGCACTTATAATAGTTTTAAGCACTTACATATAATAAGAGCTGACAATTTCTGAGCATTTATAACAGTTACTCTCCAAGCCAGAATTCAAGCCCAAGTCCTTAGAAGAAGGAATAACAAGAAGGAGTAAGTTAAAACCAAGAAAATCTATTAAATGAAAGCTTTAAGATACCTGAGTGTAAACTGGCACCAATGGGTTCACTAGCATTGATGCCGGCAGTGCTGGTGTGGCAGGAAATGGTGCCATCAGAGCCAGAAGGCGTCCTGAGCATCAGCCCCTTGCTGTGGGCGACAGTGACCCCAACAGCAGACATTACTTTAAGGCTCCTGGACACAGTGTGGCAGCCTAGACGTGTTCATCTTGAGTGCTTAAGAACCACCCCTGGGGATTCTCAGAAAAAGTGAAGGGTGATGGAGGCTCCCAGAACCTGCAAGACACTGTCCCATAACTGTACGACAACTTGACTTGACTTTAAGGCTGGTGTGGTCTTCAGGATTTTTAGTAATAATAGCTATCATTTACTGAGTCCTAACTACATGTCAGGCACTGCAGGAGAGTCGTATATTGTTTTATCATTTATTCCTCACAACTCTACCTCTATTTCCCACCACTAGATGAGACCGCAAATGAAAGGGCTGAATATCTTGCCCAAGGTCATGCAGCCAATAGTGGGGAGCTGATTCTCATCCAGATCTTTCTTTGGCAGGATTGACTCTCTTTTTTTTTTTTATAATTGAAATATATTTGATTTACGACGTTGTGTTAGCTTCTGGTGTATGGCATAGTGATTCAGTTATACATATAAATACATATTCTTTTTCATTATAGGTTATTACAAGATATTGAATATAGTTCCCTGTGCTATACAGTAGGACCTTGTTTATCTGTTTTATATAAAGTTGTTAGTATCCAGAGCCCACTCTCTTAACCATGATGCTACCAGCCTTGCAGGAGTTTCTCATGTGCAGACACCTTCCTCACCTAAGTAGAAAAGCCATGCCTCAAGGAACATGGTGTGAGTGGTGCCCACTCAAGAAATACAATATGACAGTAACTCACTGTGATTTATCATCTCCCAAGAGTACCCAACAGAACGTCTTGTACTAACCAACCTTTATTTAAAACCAGTAGGAATATGTCAACTATACACACATAGTCATATATCTGATTATTTAACATTAGAAACAACACAAAAGAAAATGAAATTGGTAGCCCTGTGCCATTACGGTAAATCAAAAAGCATGGAGCACGTACCTGGAGGATTTTATTGGCTGTTATTACTGGAGCCTCATCATTTACTGATTCAACAGTCACAAAGACAGTCTGGGGCAAACTCTGTTTTCCCAGCTCTGAGCTATTTGCAAAGATGGTGAAACTGTCAAGAAGCTCTTCACTATCATCATGAACATAGGAAATCAATTCATTTTCCACCTATAACCAACAACAAAAAAAGACCAAATTACTGAAATGTGATTTAAAAATATGAAAAAAACTACTATAAAAGAAATCCTAATTTTTTTATATCTCTCTAAAACACAGAAGCATGTGTTCATCCCAGGAAGTATGATTCTGACAATCAGAGTGCAAATTATGATGGATGGTGTAATTTTTATGAAGCAACACTACACCCCAGAAATACGTTGAAGGAGGAACAGAGTGGTTGAGTAATGTGGGGTAGTAAAGAGAATGCTGGACTGGTTAACAGAAGGCCTGAGTTCAAAGACTATTTCTAACACTAAAATGTGTTGTAGGTAAGTGATATAATTCTGCCTTTCTTCCAATGGAACAAAGCCCATTAAAATTCAGACTCTATTTAGTGACTAATTTTTGAAGTAGATTGCTTTGTTGGACAATTCAGAATATTAGATTTAGGTTCTGAAGCTTCCACTCACTTGTTGGATTTCTGCTTTTTGGAGACATATGGACCAGGGTAACTATTAAGTTTCCCCAAACTTCTCTTTTCTAAGCTAAGCATGCATTATTCCCTTAACTGTTTCTTGTATGTGAGGTTACACCTGCTACCTTCTAATCCTGCTCCTCCTTCTTCAGAATACAATTGTATTGTTTTGTTTTGGTGCATCTCTTAACAGATGTTACCCATAACATTCATTTTAATCCCTAATAGATTTCATCTTTCTAATTTTCATTCTGAAATGGCCACCCAATGAATTAGTTATTCCTCTTGGATGTGTAATAGCCACAAATTTGATCAGACTGCCTTTCATGTCTTCAGGGTTCTGATGGAATTACTGAAGAGCTCAGGATCAAAATCAGAGACCAGGAGAATCTGAAAGCTAGAAGGGAACTTGGCTTCAGGGAATCTGTGACCTCGAAATACAAGGGCAGAGAACTTTCAGTGTCCAACAGGAGTAGCTGAACTTCTAAAAAAGTCTCTGGGGTTGTGTTTGTTTTGATAAAATTCAGCCAACATTTTTAACAGTTCAACTTTGCCCAGCCCTATGGCGCACTTCCTTTGAGCAAAGACTTTTGATCTCTCAGAGGTGTTTCTGACAAGAGTTGAAAAGTTCATGAAGAGTCTCAAGGAAAAGTTGTGCCACTTGTATGCAGGTGCATGAGAATTTCTTTGGAGTTCTGTGGGAAGAGGAATTCCAGACCGTAGGCCTGGCCACTGGAATACTGTTTTCAGCTATCTGAAAACAAACATGGAAGATGGCACTGGCAGGAGAATTTTTAACCTAATATACTTTAGAAAGATAGCATTTAAATAGAGGTCACCTTTTCAGTATCCTTCCTGGATAAATACATCATTTCCTCCCAAATTACCATTTAAAATGCCATTTAATAGTTATTAATCCAAAGGTAAAGAGAAGGTTGGCTGGAGATTAGTCTGTTCCTAGTTCTAATGCTAGAAAAACATCTGATGACCTGAAATTGAAGTATATATTAAAAAGTGTTTGTCCCCCGTCACCAATCATGTTCAGGGTACATTAGGTCCCTCCTCTGCTCACATCTCTCTCCCCAGTTGCTCCTCAGCTCACCCGGGATCAAAGGTGAAGTCAAAGGCCCTCCTATACTGGACCTCGCTCACCTCATCTACTGCTCTCCCATGTGCAGCTCCAGCCACCCAGAACTCCTGCTGCTCCCCTCACACCTGTTCACTTGCTCTTCCCTCTGTCTGGAATGTTCTCTCCTCCATATCTAGCTGGCTCATCCATACATCACCTCCTCCAGTGTCTGTTCAAATGCTGCCTTCTCAGTGGGGCCTCCCAACACTTTATTTGAAACCCAACATCAACACATATGCACACACACATACACACACACCCCACGTGAAGTCTCCAGCACTTCCTATCTCCCTTTCCTGCTTTATTTTTCTCCATAGCACTAATCTTCATTCAGCTATTTTATTTACAGAAATTTGCTTATTTATTTCACTTACTATCTCTCTCTGCCTCCTTCTTTCCCCCATTAGGGAAAAGATCCACAAGGACAGGGATGATTGCTGGGTACTTCCCTGCTGTATCCCCGGTACTCAGAGCTAGCACACCTGACACACAATGGACACTCAAAAACTATCTGCTAAATGAATGAAGGGCAAAAATGGCCAAGAACTCTCCTTCTCTGGGTCACTAAAAGCTATAGTCACTAGGTGTTAGCTGTCACTGAAAGTGAAAACGATCATGTCTCAAAACGCAGAGACCTCAGGAGTCGTAAAGGAAGTTAAAGTATGAAGGCTCCTCTGGAGGAGCAGGAACACACAACCTCGACCGTGAACAAGACTACATGATCACACGGATACCACAGGGAACACACGTACTTGACACAGATTTCAACCAACCGTGCTGAAATATACACTTCTTACAAAGCACAGTCGATAATGAACTGGCCAAGACAGAATCAAAATCTGGTGCTCGGTCTCTCACCTACATGAAAGATAAGAAGAGTGTACCTTATATTACAGTTCATGTGCCTGATTCCCCTACAGCATTTCTTGAGAGCAAGAAATATGTCCACTTATCAGGGTAACCTGACACAGTAACTTGGACAAAGTAATTGTTTAGTGAATGGATTGAAATCACTTGATGAGGTGAAATCCTTAGAAGCAAAATGAAGCAGCACACATTCTTAGCTAATGGGACAAAACTACCCAAAGATGCTACGTGGTTGTAAAGTAACAGAAGTCATTCTTTTATTCACTATAAGAAAGCAAAGTCTCACAATAATATCACTCTAACCCAAAACAAAGAAATCTGATAGCAGCCCAGGGTTGATTCTGGTTATTTTGTGTTGGACATCAGATTGGCAGCTGGGTCCAGCTGCTTGATGGCAGGCACTGGGCCACTCTAGCCATTGATAGCACTGTGCTTAGCCTAGCGCACGACACAGAGTGTGCACTCTACCAGCACCTGCTGCTTGAAAGGGAATGAATGAATGAAAACATCCACTAATGATTAAAGCACACCTGTGTTAGCTACCTGGGTATTATACTTTGCGAGGGACAGGGACGCTTCTCTAGAACTGGGCAGCCAGGATGGTGCAGGTAGAAACCCAGAGCATATAAGCAAAAGTTTGAGAAACTACAGATATTTAACCTACAGAAGATGACATTCAAGGGAACTTGGTAACATTTTCTTTCAACATTTAAAGAGCTTTTACCAAAGGAGGTATGATTTGTTCTGTGAGCTCCCAGAGGCAGAACCTAGGAGAAGTTTCTAAGTGGCAGCTCAGCATAAAGAACTTCCTTTCCATCAACTGGAATGTTTTTCAGCTGGAAAGACCCATCTCAGGAAGCAGTGAGTTCTCCACCACTGAGGATATTTAAGCAATGGACATTAAGCAACAACCTCTCTATGGGGTTACTGCAGAAGGGCCTGTCCATCTGTTGGTAGGTTGGACTAGATACTTTCTCGGGTCTCATCACTCCCAAAAGTCCATGAATCTAAATGATAAATAGTCAAGTGTTTTTCCTTATCCATCATACCTCAATATATTAACTCAGAGTTATTACCTGTTTCCTGGTAAATTTCATAAGCTTCACTCTTGGAAAATGAGAATTTTGAACATAACCGTGTTTTGGTGGTTTGAGTAGAAAAAATTCACAGTCAAGTCCAGCAAAATGCTTGCTTGGAATTTTGAAGTAGTCTTCTGAAAGTGTTTTGGAACCACCTTCTTGCACTGTGAAATTTTGTGCCTCCAGAGGAATCTGCTTAGGGACAATATCCACCAAGATTTCAACTCTACTCACAGCTTGGAAGCCACTCATCACATCCAGTAAAAACTGGTCCTGTAGTTGGTCAGGAGCTGTCTGTACATAATGGATATAACCATCATCAATGTCCTGCTGTGTAAAACTCAAAGGAGACTTTTCATCTGCACCCAAGCTGCCTTCTTCTGGTAAAGATTTTCGGAGGTATCCATGCATGGGTGGAGTTCTAACAATGAACATTGCCTCTGAAGGAATATTATCTTCATGTACAGCCTTGAGTTCACATTCACAACATACAGACAGAAAAAGAAAAAACAGACTGATATGTGGGAGAGTCAAGACCCTTGATAAACCACATTTTTTTCTATTAATGTCCACAAACGGCTTAAGTTACAATCCAGATTGATACACAGTTTAAGCTTGGATCTGCTCTGGTGACCATGCCAATATTTTGAATTTCAGCCCTGGTGGCAAAGAAAAAGGAATATTTGAATAGTTTCTAATGTATTTACAAGGCATTGTTCACAGTGACAAGAAATCCAGGAGTCAGAAAGTTGAGCTGAAAGAAACAAAATGGTATATAAGGAGAAGGAACAAACGATGGTGGAAGAGGTAGCAGCTGAATCACTAAAACTGCAGGACTTCAGAGGAATATTTTTAAACTAGTTCAGCATTTTCAATATGCATTTAATTTATTGATTGAGCAAAATCCATCTCAAAACTGTCATGGTTACTGATTTATAGTCACTGAACTCCATACACCCCCTTGTGGTTAAACTGAAGCATAAACTCTCTAAGATCCTGAAAAAGAATTGAGAAAAGCTTGTGGGTCCCACATTCTCGTGGTCAAAAATCATTATTTAGTAAACTGCTTCTGATTTGAATTCATTTCTACTTGATGTTATTGACTGTATTTATCAGGCAAGCAAACTTGCTTGCAGTCCTGAGCGTGATTCAGAATAGCCTGCATTTGTGGCCAATTTTCATATAAATCACAGTTTATGCACCCTGTGCAGGATTACTCACTCTTCCCTAACTCTGATCAGCAGGGCTGTGCTGCTGAAAGTTTCCAAGTTGGAGCCTCAAGAAACCATGTAGCTTCTGGTATGAGGTTTCACCCCTGGCATTCCACTGGTCTAGGCTGATTTTATGCATCAATTTCAAGAAACTGAGTAAGGCCACATTCAGAGCTAAGGAAATAAACTGTATACTATAGTATCCTCTGCTATTTTAGGAATCCTTTTTATGTTTGATAGGTTACTCTGTTTTTATACCCTGCTTCATCACATAACTCAGATCAAATGATATATTGGCAGTGTTGCTTATGAAAAGTGAAAAAAATAATGACCTCTTAATTTATTACAATATATACATTCCCTCCCTCTTCCCAGGTCATCCTACACCAAACATACATGCAAACTCGTGTGATCATGTGCACACAGCTTTAAAACGAGGCTTAGGATTACTCATATTCCATTTCTAACTGTAGAACAATTTGCAGTATCAAAATCATGAAGCCTTCTCAATGGCATCTACATTTTTTAAAAAGTCGTTCCACATGCGAGGAGGGAAGTCAACACAAAAATAGCTTTCAGAAGCAAACAAACAGATCACATTCCCTGTGGTTTTAGGAGAGTGGGACTGTTTGGTACTGGGATGACTACCTACCTGGAGTATTCTACTCAGTTTTACTGGTTTTCCTTCTTCAACAACAAGGGTCTTGCTGTGCAGAATTTGGGTGTGATGCTGGTGGCTTTCTGAGTCCACATGCACATAGACGCCCACTTCTAAATATGTATCTTTAACTTTCACTGTCAGGTTGAACACATCGAAGCTGCCGCTGCCGTCATGCCTATAAATCACATGTCCTTGCTTCAAGTCATGTAGAGAGAATGAGCCAGCCCTTGAGCTGCTGACCAGCACTCTGCCATGCTCTGGAGGCCACGCAATGTGGAATCTGATCTCGCCATCTGTTCTGACATCTTGGTTTGTGGTGACACTGAGATTGGCAGTCGTTAGGCTGCTGTCCTTTCCTCTCTGCACGAGCAGCCCCGTGTTGTTGGCTATACGCACGTAGGGGTCTGACACACTGACCTCGAGAAGGGACGATGTAGTGTGGACACCGTCTGTCACAAACAGCACAAAGCGGGCGAAGTCCGCACCTCGATGCCTGAAGAGCACGTGCCCCGCCCGCAGGTCGTCCTGCCTGAACTGGTACAGTTTCTGAGTCGGGTCACTGGCTCGCACCAAGTCCCCATTCGGGATGCCCCGCCGGGTGTAGAGCAACTGCCCATCGTCAAAATCGGAATCCGGGTCATGGTAACAGAGATCTGCTAGGGTTAGTAAGCGCTGGCTGTTCCGCACAATGTGAAAGACTTTATCCACCACGCGCACCGGTTTCTCATCATTCTTTAACTCCACAGAAACAGTGACCTTGATCTCTGCGGACAGATGCTCCCTACGGAGATCCCTGGCCACTCCCTCCTGGCCTGGTCCTGTAGGGGAGGCCACAAGGAGGAATTCATCACACTGGGTCTCAGAGTCATCGTGCACATACATCAGCCGCTCATCCAGGATGTCCTGATCGGTGAATGTGGAAATATTGTCATGACTTCCCAGAGACTCTGAAGAGCTAATCAGTTTCAGCTTCCCGTGTTGAGGACTCTTGGTGATTTTATATTGGAAGGTCTGATTGTCCAATGTTTCAGCAAATAATTCTGATCTTGTAATTAATTTCCCTTCCCCTTCTTTTACAAACAATCCCGTTTGTTAAAATAATGTGCATCTTATCTGCATTAATGTTTATTCTGAAAGTATAATTATTTGATTCTATGTGTTTTGCAATCATCAAGAACCTGAAAGTATCTTGTGAATCTTTCCTGGGTCTCTCCTGTAGTTCATAATTTATCTTGAAGTCTGTAATGTTTTGTTGGCTGAAGACTGAGTTTGTTTTTAGAACTTTTGTGCCAATTAGCAATTTTCCTTTCTTAGGTGTGGTGAGTAACTTAAAATGTAGTTCCGCTTCGGCTATGTCCACACCCTCTGTCACAGCCTGCAAATGATCTGAATTCAGTACGTGCCTGTTTATTTCACTGATCTCAAGAGGAACATTTTTCAGAAGGGTAAATGTTAGCCATTGTATGGTAATGGGAAACATCAGCTCTTCACTGCTTTTTCCTTCTATATTAACTTTAAATTTAAAGTGATCAGTAATGTTTTTTAGCTGCAATTCCTGGAATATACTGGAGTACCGGACCCGACCCTGATCAATTGAACGCTGAGAAAAGATACTCACTTGTTTCCACTCTCCACTTGACCCCTGCCGCTGAATCTGGCCAAACTGAGGTGCATGAGTGACAACATAGCGGGTCTCCACCTCCGGGCGTTCACCATTAACCTCCACTGACAAGTTGCTCTGCGTAATCAGAACCGTGCCACCCTGCTGTACGACCACACCGGTTCTGTTGGCCACTTCAAAGTCCCAAGGAACAGCAATGACCCGTAACACCACCGTATTGCTAACCAGCTCTCCATCACTTGCTCTTAGGAGAATCCGGGAGTTCCGATGGCCCCGGTGCACACAGAAAATGTTGCCACCTCTTAAATCCCCATGTGTAAAACCACTAATGGCTCTCCCAGGGTCATTGGTGTTTTCTAAAAACCCAGCATCTGAATGGAAGTTGCCAAGAACTGAAAAACTAAGACTTGAAGAATCTGTGTCTGGGTCTGACACATGTATGATATTTGGAGTCAGTCGTTTCTTAGAGTTCTCAAACACGAGAAGCAAGCTTCCTTCAGGGAGCGTAAGGTTTGGGGGATCATTTACTGGAACGATGATGATGTTGAACACAAATGAACCATGTCCTTGAAGATACAATGGCACTTCCTTCTCGCTGCTGGAAGAGACTGAAAATGTGAAATAATCCCTCGGGTCTTCTGAACCATCATGGATGTACCAAACTTTTCCTTGGCTCAAATCTAACAGAGTAAAAGCCTTCTCCATTTTTTGCTCAGGGCAAACATCTAATCGAAGGAATCCATGAATAGGCATTTCCTTTATTTTAAATAGTATCTGATGGATACCCAAATCCTTCAACTCCACATCCACCTTCATATGCCTTTGTTCCAGTAAGGCTTGCCCACCTTCTTGAACCTCCAAGTTATTCAGAACCAAGAAATAGCTACTCACATCTTGCAGAAAAGGCTTGCCTGCCTCAGGGACGGCAGTGGACAGGGGAACTTGTGCCTCAAGCAGGTTTTCCGTTGCTGTTACAGAACGAGTCTCTTCATCACTACTCTTCATTTTACAGCCAGCAGATATATCTTTGGAAACAAGTGCGCCCTTTAATGCTCTCTTTTCTGAGTTGGCTTCCAAGCCTCTTAGGCACCCTTTGAAAGAGATTGCTCGAGCAGATTTCCTAGGCACAGAGGCAAGCTCTAACCTCTTAACTTCTTCTCCCTTGTGGTTATCAAGACCTCCTAGGAAGAGGTGGCCTTCAGACACAAATGGTTTGCTTTGAAGAGGCAGCAAAGTCCTTACTCCTTGTTCATCCACCATCAGGCCCAGATACCTTTCAGTGAACTTGAGTTGAACAATGTGCCACTTGTTGTCACTAACTAAGCTATAAGAAGAGAGCTGAGTATCATTCTTATTTCTTCCTACATGAGCCTTCAATAAACCTTTAACTATTTCCAAAGCAACAAAATCTCCTTCTCTACCAGACTGAAATAACAGCAAGGCTTGATGAGTTCCAGTCTGCAAAGCAAATTCCAACAGCCCGTCCCCTTGCACCCTCCATTCTGGGAAGGTGACGTAGGATCTGGAGCTAAAGAAATTGATGGCTTCATCCTCCCCTGCAAAAAATTCATCACTGCATCCTAGTGACACCTCATAAACTTTCTTGAAACCAGGGTAAGATCTAAGGGATGTGAGGATCTCCCTCTGGTTAAATATCACATCCTCCATACACCCACGGAAATTGGGGAGCTCTCCATCGAGGTAAGGGACCTCAAGGCCACCGTGGCCTGCAATGTAGATTCCATGCTGAAAGTGCAAATTGTGCATCCCACTGATGACCTGGCCAGTTGTCTCATAGCGTTTGTCAATAACCAGAGAGATATTACCCTTAACACAGTGCAGTTCCACTAAATGCCAAACCAAGTCATCCACACGAAGTCTTTGCTCAGAGAGGAACACTTGTTCACCTGTACCCAAATTCACTCTCACCTGAAAGAGAAAGAATCATAATTAATCAATCTCATCTCATAGTGTTTTATTGAGAAAACAAGGCCATTCACAAATAAAAGAGAAACTTGGACATGGAAGCTCTTCCCACGTCTATGGGCTACATGTTGAGGTTAAAAAATTTCAGAGTCAGAGTATTTAGACATGCTGGTAAAACTGGAGAAGATCTTAACCCTTACATGGTTTTATTTGAGTGAAATAGTAGTAATCAAATGGATAGCTGTATTTATTCTCTTTTCTTTCACTGTTCTTCCCTCCAGTAACTGAATGCTTATACGTTTTTAAAGATTTTTAAAAACCTTACCCGTAAGTTTCCTGATAGAAGTTCTATTATGCAGTAGTCATTTTTCCCAGCTGCAAGAAAAAGTAATCCCTGTGGTTTGCTGGTTTGAAATTTTAAGTGAAGAGATAACTCAGAGGAAACTTCTATGATGTTGAGCTCCACGTAGCTTTCACCATAAAAAGATGCTAGGGGAAAAAACAGAAGTATTAAAGTTAGTCAATTTATTCCAAAATGACTGTTCCACTTTATATTTTCATTTTCCTTCAGGGACTGACCCTGCTGAAGACAGCTGCCTTGCCCAAGGCCATATTTGCTTCCTGGGGTAGCCCACCAATCTGTCCTGGGAGCATAAAGGCTCAGTGTTCTCTTGCCCCAAGTCAGGACACCTCTGATCGGTCAGTCCCCCTTCAGAACTCTCAAGGTGGGTGGCAGAGGTTTCTACTAAAACTGAATTGCAAATCTACTTCTCCCTCCACCCAGTACTGCTTCCTTTTATTCCACAGGGGTTAATCTGAAGTCGCTGGTGTTGAGCTTGTGTAACACGTTAGACAGCTGTGGAATATCAAGCTATGAAAAATACAGGGCAAATAGTAACGATGAGGACAATGGAATTGGGTGTTTATCGCTAAGTTTGAAATGAAGCTTTGGAAAAGATAAGGAAAAACGAAGAGAGATTAGTCGACAATTACAAGCCAAGTGTGAAAGTCAAAGAGCTTCCCTGGTAGCATGTATCTTTCTTATCTCCTAAGCAAGTAGGCAGAAGAAGTTGAAACTCCCATCCAGGAATTAATCATCAGAGTAAATAGCTCCAAATAAGGTTAAAGTCCCAACCATGACAGGCTGGCTCTGACGAGTCTAAGGCCTTGTTTGGGAAAGAACATAAACTTGACATATGGAATGGGAACATGTGGATTGGTGCATTCAAATATCTTGGGTCCCTAGATCCCTCTGAGCCCTCTGAGCCTGAAAAAGTGACCTATTCCCCTGTTAAGGGTAGCACTCCCCTCGCTTAAAGAGGATGTGGAGACCTCTCCCCACAGGTAACATGGAACCCCTGAAGATACGCCCCATCTCTCTTCCTGGCCACTAGACCAAAAACTTAAGCCACATAACCTGTGTAGGGACACGTTGGGCTTGATATGGGAAGGAAAGGACTAGACTCTAATGTTGCTGGAGGACCTACCCGGAATGTAGTGCCAGCAGCTGGGAGAATGCACAGGGGACTGTGGGTAACTGATCAAAGGGACAGGGACATAAAGTTGAATCAGAAAGAGTTCATAATAGATGGGGGGGCACTCTCCAGGGATTCAGGATATAGCTTGCTGGCAAAGACTGCTGGAAATGCTGTGAACTCACTGCTAAGGTGGCTCCTAGAAGCACAGAAAGTGTAATGACCCACTCTAGGTAAGACACACATGACAGAGTCGCCATGACAGATGGTGGAAGCAGAGATTGAAGGGGTGGAGGTGGTACGTCCAGGATGGAACATGAATAGGACCAGAAGGCACAAGCAAGCTACAAGAGATGATGGCCCAGGGCTCCATGTCAGCACCATTCTCGAGCCAGCACCTTTTCCTCAGCTCACACATGCGGCTGTACCAGGAAATCCCTTATTACCAGCTGATAGAAGAGTAAAACACCTGAGCTTGGTGCATGGATGAGTGAGCATCATCGTAAGTGTGCAAGTTGAAAATGGACTCCAGCTGCACTACAGCTCCCCCTAGGGGTAGCCGTGAAAAACAATAGTGAGGGAAAATCCTTCACAGGGAAGAACTTTGGGTGGTACACCTAATCACCCACTTTATAAGGAGAGAGAAGTGGCTTGCGGTTAGAATAAATAAAGACTTATAAATAGCGGCAAATGGCCCAGTCAGATGGTCAGGAGCCTAGAATGAGAAAGACTGAAAGAGCAGGGACAAGAAGGTCTGGGATGGACGCCTGAGTATCAGTGTGAAGTGAGAAAATCTTTATATTGCATGTTAATGCCCACCAGAAAACATCTACCACACAAGAGACACTAAACCATCAGGCTGACAAAATGAGTTGGCTAGTTGCCATCAGCTAGCTTCCGTCATTGGCCACCCCTATAATTGCCACAATGGGTGCATGATGAAGTAGCCATGGTGGTAAAGGACGAGCCTGTGCATATACCCAATGGCCTGGGCTCGCTCTTACCAAGGCTTTCTTAGCTATGCTCCTACTGAATGCCCAACATGCCTCTAAGAGAATCTAGTAGGTTCCCATCCCTTCAAGAGGGGTGGCAAGTTGACATCAGTGAAACCCTTTCTCCTTGGAATAGCCATGATTCATTTCAACAAAAATAGACACAAATTCTAGGTATATATTTGCCTTTCTTGCTTGCAGGGCGCTACTAGCACCATGATCTGAGAGATCATGGAGTGTTTAATCCACTAACATGGGATGCCAAATAACATCACCTCAATCCAAGGCACACCCTTTTCACTCCCAAGGAGGTATGGTAATGAGCCGAAGACCACGGGACCCTCTGGTCCTATCATGTACTACACCCCTGAAGCTGCAGGCCTGGGAGATTGCTGAAAAGCCTAATGAAGGAATGGTTGGATCACCAGCTCAGAAGCAGTGCTCTATCAGGGTGGGTTCCATCCTGCAGGCATTATCGACACTTTAAGTGAAAGATCTTTACATGGTCTTTAAGTTATAGCTCTTCACACACCTCCTGTTGTGTCTCCAGGAATCATAATCTATGGGTCTGAGAACAGGGGTAGATCAGGAGTTTCTTGCAGAAGAATCCCTCCTTAGGCCTCTCTCTCTAGGGAGTCCAGTCTAGGTAAGATGGATAGGTAGTGAGCAGTCATTTATTGAACCAAACTGAACTAACCTAGTGGACCCTCAATTTATAGTTGAGTAAACTCAAGCCTAAAGAAGCTTCTGGACTTATGTCAAGTCAACAGTTACTCAGAAACAGAACTAAGACAAAAATTAAGCATTCCCAATCACCAAGGCAGTGTTTTTACCAAGATGCGAAGCTGATAGAGAGATGAATATGATCTGTTACAGATTTTCTCAGATATGCATAAGCACCCTCTTCTCTATTTAAAAACAGCCATTGATGATTAAACTCAATAAAATTATAATGTAGGGATGTGGTCATAAAGTTGAAACAAACAATTACAAACCCACTATCTTAGTTTATCCTCCTGGCCTTCCCATTACTGAATCCCCCGCTCCAATTTTTGACAGGCTATATTGTTAAGTTTTCAAAATCAGGAAATGTTTTCTAAATCATAAAATCTACTGCCGAGAATGGCTAAGTAACCTTAATAAACAACATCCTTCTATTTTCCCACATTTCACCTCTGGCACTACATCAATTCCAGTTTCAGCTGGTAGCTAGAAATTTCCATCACCTCAGGGGAAAAACAAGGAAGCAGGTTTAAAACTTATGGTTTGCCAGATTGAAGCTGGTTTTTGTCCTCACCTCCGAATTGACCCTAACTTTTGTGGCCCCTGGTAAACACCTCAAAATAGTAAGAAAAAGCAAACAGAAGCACAAGTAAAACTGGTTCGTAGGAAAAGAAAGGTGATCTCCACCTGCAGTGAAGGACAAGGCATGTTTTGGTACTATATGCGTGTAGCAAATCAAGCTGAACAAAAATCAGAGCGACTTCCTGGTTCTGTATGCTTAAGAAAAAGGTGAAATGTTTGAATAGAAGCCATAGCTTGACAGTGAAGTGGGTAAAATGCTCTTCATGGAAGGTAAGAATTTCCATTTCTCTATAATATCTCCCAGGTAGGTGATTATATTATTGGTTTTATCTACCTTAGAACTAGTTTCCATTCCTTCTTCCAAACTATATTATTTTGGGTTCTTGTTTGATTTTGGTTTGTATTAGAGTTTTTTTGTTTTTTGTTTGTTTGTTTGTTTGTTTTGTTTTGTTTTGTTTGATTCACTAGATGGACCACCTCCAGTGTGCCAGGTAGTATCAGGAGGTGGATTAGTGACCTAATAAGACAAACATCAGTCTCCAGGCCAACTGCTCAGGTTGCAAAGACAACGCCAGCATTGCCCTGCCCGAACCCCCTCTCAATAGGGCATTCTGTAAGCCTGCTGCCAACAGTTGTGCAGACTGTGTCCCGCACAACTCCAGGGGGAACTACTCCTGCAGACGCTGTAGATTCCTGTAGTGCCCCCTGGAATGAAGCAGTGAGGCCGTCCTGGTCCCTGGCCAGCCCCAGCTGAGCTGACAACTACCTCCTTAGTGACAGCAGAGCCTCTGTCCTAATCTGAATGTGCCACATGTGACATTTATACAGGTCTATGTTTTCTCCACCACTGGCTGGGAGCTTTCCAGGTCCCAGCCACAGCCTTTGGAGTAGGTGCTGGAGCCAGGCTCACTCTGCACAGAGACAGAAACTTCCCTAAGGCTCCCAGCCCCTCATCCCTCTCTGGCGACATGTGTCATCTTCTGTCAGAATTATATGGCCCTTTGTATGATCTCTTTTACTAGGACAGAAACTCCCTCTATAAATTTCCCGTTGCTATAACCAATTGCCACTAATGTAATGTCTTAAAATAACACAGATTTATTGTCTCACTGTTCCAGAGGTTAGAAGTCCAAAATAGGTCTCCCTGAGCTAAAATCAAGGTGTCTGCAGGGCTGCATTCCTGCTGGAGGCTCTAGGAGAATTCTTTATTTAATAAATCTCCTTTATCCACATTCTGTACCCCTAAATGGATATCTAACCCACTGGCTCTTTGCCTCATAGCCAGGTTAACTGCACAGATGATGAGGAAAGGAGAGGAATGAGCATTCACTGAGTAGTTGTCAGGCTGTTAGGAGGTCTTACACCTATTTTAGTCAAATTTCTCTGAAGAAACAATTATCATCCCAGTTTTACAAGTGCAACATCAAGACCAAGAGAAGTAATTGTCCCAGTTACTGAGTATATACGGTGGCACCCAGATTGAAGCCCAAGTCCACCTGACTCCAAAGCCATGGGCTTTCCATCACCCTACACTGACCACTTGGGTCACTGGCTCAGGCCCCATCACCACCCAGTCTGCCCCCCAGCGCCATTCTCTGCCCTCTCAAATCTCCCTGGCCTGCAGCTAGCAACTCCTCTCTCAAAGCCACACCACTGCCACAATCACAGCGGCCCCACACCTGGGCCCCTAGACCTGGCCGGTTCCACCCTGCATGCCAGGCCAGAAGGGGCGGTGGAGGCAGGCAAAGGAAGAATCAGGAAGGACGAAGACGGAGGAGCCTGGAAAGGCCTCAAAACAGCAGGATTGAGGGGAGGAGGGTATACCTCAAGCGGTAGAGTGCATGATCAGTGTGCATGAGGTCCTGGGTTCAATCCCCAGTACCTCCACTGAAGAACCGAATAAATAAACCTAGTTACCTCCCCGCTGCAAAAACAAAAACAAAAACCCAGCAGGATTGACTCAGAGCTGGAGGAGCTGGAAGGAGGCAGGCGCAGGGGTGAGAGAAGGTGAGGTGTGGCTACTACGCCAAAACTTCTAGTGAAATCGCCTAACATGAAGTAAATAAGCGTTCAGAATTTAATCCCAACACCACAAAGATTTACAAGGCCTTTGGTCTACAACGTGCTCTCTAAAGAGTCTAGAAGAAAGTCTTGTTAAGCTGAATTAAATTTCAAAGAGCCATGGAGAGCAGAAAAGACCAAGTGTTGAGCTCAGTTATGTGAAAAGTCTCAACAACTATGCTTTTATTAATAATCTTTGACTTCGGAAAAGCGCCATGAAAATGTAAAGCACTTCCAGCGAATCGGGTCCAGAAAATGCAAGCGGACTGTGGAAGGACTTAAGGAATAATACGCCAGCGACCGAAGAGTTTCGGCGAGGAGTTTAAGGCCCTCAAAGCCCTGAGGGTCACATGCAGGCGAGCAGCTCTCCCGGGCCGGGGCCGGGGCCAGGGAAGGAGCAGAGCTGAAAAGATTGAGAAGGGAGGACAGCAGGACGCCTTCCTTCTGCTCGTCCGAGTGCCACCGAGAGTCCGGCCCTGAAACCCAAATTCGTGGCGAAGTCCG